AAAAATGCAGTGCTTTATTACTTATTTAACCCATGATTATTAACCATTCATAGCACTAAATAAAGACATTTAGCCATTCTCTTTCTGTCGGTACTCTCCATTATTTACTTTTATTTTTATGCTATTTTACATAAATATAGTACAAGAAAATGTCTATTAGCTACTGTTAATAGAGCAGCAGTGTTTTCATTTATATCATTTTATGGCATCATAATAATCAATATTGAAGGAAAAAGATAATTATTTGTCTTTTTAGCCGTGTAACATACTATACAATTCATACTAGATGGTACAGCTGTTTTATACTGCTGCCGTAGAATAAAAGAGAACCTGTGGCAAATAAGTAAGATTTTTCTGAGCCTATTGTTCATTATGCCACACTTTGTCTTTTGCAAATAGTAAGATACAATGAGTTGTGCTGTATACCAGCTGTCTAGCCTCTTTTGTGCTGATAGTGTGTTCTATTTATTATTATTTTTTTTGTACGTTAAGAATGGAAGAGAGACTGCGCAGCGAAATAGCAGATGCCATAGTGGAATGCACAGGATTTGACAGGGAGGCAGTTAAGAAGGCAATAATGAGAAGCAAGAGCGTCAGAAATGGCGACTTTATGGTGCCATTCTCGCAGCTGACAAGAGATGAAAGCGTTATAGATAAAGTAATGGAGAGCATTAACAGGAGCCCGTCTTCTTCTGTTAAGAAAGCAGAGATGAACAAGCAGGTGCTATTTGTGTTTGTAGATGTAAAGAAAGTGGCTAAAGAGCTGGTCAAGGACATACTAAGCAGCAAAGAAGCATACGGGTCTTCCGAGGAAGGAAAAGGAAAGACAGTTGCAATTGACTTCAGCTCTCCCAATGTTGCCAAAGTCTTCCATGCGGGCCATCTAAGAACTACGATCATAGGAAACTACATACAGAACATATACAAGAAACTGGGGTACAAAACAGTGGCTATTAACTACCTGGGAGACTGGGGGAAACAGTTTGGGTTCCTGGCCATCGGGTACCAGAAGTACGCAGACCCAGAGGAAATGAAAAATGATCCCATCCGGCATCTGAACAGCCTGTATGTAAGGGTGAACCAAGAAGCAGAAAACGACGAAAGCGTGCACGATGCAGCCAGAGACTTCTTTAAGAGAATGGAGGAAGGAGACAAAGAAGCATTGGACATATGGCGCATCTTCAGAGAGATAAGCATTACCAAGTACAAGGAGATGTATGCATCAATGAACATCCACTTTGATGAATATTCAGGCGAAAGCTTCTACGGAGGACAGGCTGCCCTGGATAACATCCTGAGCAAGCCGTACCTACAGGACAGCGAAGACGGATCAAAGATAGCTGATCTCGGAGCCCTGGGGAATGTCATTCTCATCAAGCGAGATAAATCTACCATCTATATATCACGAGACATACTGGCAGCTGAAGACCGCATTAGGAAATACTCTCCGCATAAGCTCATCTACGTGGTGGCCAGCCAGCAAGACCTGCACTTCAAACAGCTGTTTAAGCTGATGGAAAAAGACGGGTACGATCCCTCCCTCTTTCTGCACATAAACTTTGGAATGGTCAAGGGGATGTCGACTCGAAGAGGAACTGTCACGTATCTCTCTGATATCATCGATGAAGCACAGGATGCAGTCCTTGAAAAGATGAAAGACAGCCAAAAGAACGATCAGATCGCTGACAAAGAGAACACATCGAGGATACTTGCACTCTCTGCGATTCTCATCCAGGACTTCAAGGCCAAGCGCATAAAGGACTATGAGTTCGATATGAAAAAAAACACTTCGTTCATTGGAGACACAGGGCCGTACATCCAGTACACTTTGTGCAGGCTGTCGAGCATAGGCAGAAATGCCGTGCATCCCATTGGTGACGTGGAAGGCCTAGACTTCAGTCAGCTCGGGCACGAAAAGTGCTACGAGCTGCTCTTCTCTCTGGGCAGGTATCCAGCTGTGCTCAGCGAAAGCATCAGAGGCCACGAGCCATCGGTCATTGTTACGTACGTCCTTCAGATGTGCCAGCTCGTGAACTCTATATTCAGGGTTGTGTGGGTGGCTAACCAGCCTGAAGAGGTGGCTAGGCCCAGACTGGCCATGTACGAAGCAATACGGTATGTCCTCACCGATGCCATAAAGATACTGGGAATGATTCCTCTGGAAGTCATGTAATCAGCAGCACTCTGCAAGAATTTCTCCATGAAGTATCCAATAAATTACTATATTGTCGAATCTATCTCTTATTTCCATTTTAGCAAATTGCAGTGTGAAAAGACAGCCCGAGAATACCTGAATATTAATCAGTGATTGTGAGTAGATGCAGTGCGTCTTTAAGATAAAGAGAACACTCAGAGACAGCTAATGATAATCCATCATCCAGCATAAAAGAGTGGTAAAGCACTGAGTTTGCTTCTTCTCCTATTGTGGTTACAAGGTGTACATTCTAGAGATTGTGTACGCATTTATATTTAAACTTGCATTGATAGTGTATATTTATTTTATAAGACGTACACTTTGGGAATGTGTACGATGTAAATAAATAGTAATTTGTAAAATTTTGTATGGATAAAGAATGGACTCCAATGATCGTCCTGGGAGGAGGAGGCCACACACAGGAAATGGTGGAAATAGTTAAAAAAGGCCCGGTGTTTGCATCTATGAACATAGTCTGCTCATCATGCGACAGTCTCTCTGCTAAGATATTTAAATCAGAAGCTGCTCCTAGTAAATACTCCCTGTATACAATAGAAAGGCCAAATGATGTGCACGAGAAGTACTCCATGCACAAGATGCTCTACTCTTTGTTTCTATCCATTCTTCTGGTGCTCCGAACAAACAGCCACTTCCTCCTGTGCAATGGCCCTGGGCTGTGTGTTCCCCTGGTCATCGCATACAAACTAGTTTATCCGTTTAGACCCGTATTCTACATAGAAAGCACAACCAGGATAACCTCCCTATCGACCACAGGAGCCATTGTGCAGTACATAGCCAGTAGATTCATAGTGCAGAGCAAACACTTAGAAAGAAAAAGCTATCCAAGAAGAACATACCACAAAATATTCGATATAAATACAATGAAATAGTTTATTAACCACAGATCAATCATCCTACACTGAGACTTTCTATACCAATCTGTTTAGTAGTAGTTAAGAACTAGCTTGAGCAGCTTAATAAAGACACTCGATCCAGCTATTACAGCTATTCCTCCTATTAGCAGGTTAATGGAAAACATGTCCAGAAGACCAGAAGGCAAATTGTACTTCACAATGTCCTCTTCATCTACTCCCACGAGATGCAGTGAAGTGATTATGCGGCGCGTAATCAGCCTGGATACTGGCCAGAGAATGAAGGAGTTCAAGCTCTTTTCAAAACAGTAATAGACCGCTGTCATATTGTTCTCACTCTTCAGATACAGCTTGGAAATAGAGACCAGATTCGGAAGAAATCTGAACACACTCACATCAGAGTACAGAACAATCGAGGTATTTTCATTAGTATTTTCATCTATTGTGTATGTTTCAGTGTACAGAATGTTAATAAAAAATAGCCTTTGCTCTACCCTCTTAAGGAAGACTCTTTTTCTCACCCTGTTCTCTTTCAGCTGGCTGTCCAGGAGCGTGTATCCTTTTTTCTTGAATGTCTCTATGAGTGATGGCGGGTTGTTCTCGAATACAGCTAAAAACGCATTGTTCAGTGGCTTATCTATCGTTCCTATAAGAGTGATCTTCCTGTGGTCATAAAAGGATTTGCTGTACCAGCTGCAGAAGAGGCTTGTATCAGACGGCTCACAAAATATCTCCATATTGAACCAAACAGTTTCTATGCTGACCGACAGAGCAGAGGGCTTGAAAAAATTTACTTCATTTCGCAGTATGGAGTATGTCCACCCAAAAACCATTTCTTTGACGACAAGAACGTTCTTGAAAAAGTAGAACATTCCCCTAAACACTTTTCCGTTATTTCTGAAGTTGGCAAAAAAAGTAAAGATGGGAGACTGGTCAAAATTAGAGAGCAAAAACCCTACCTTATTTGGAATCAGCTTTCTTTTGATCCTGTTCTCATCCACAAACTGCGTTTTCTCTTCATTCACAGGCCTGTACTCATTTGTTATTTTTCTTTTCTGTCTTTCCAGCTCATCAACCGCTGAGTGTGTCAGTGTCTGCAGCTCCTCCGCGATGAGAGGAGATATTGCATTCTCAGACGAGCTGTACTGGAAGTCCTTTATCTTCTGCATGCTTAGACAAAGCGCGGCGTGGTCTATTGACGTTTTCTGCATCTCTTCAACTTCTGTGGAAATAGCCTTCAGTAGGCACAGAGTGAGTTTGTTGGTTTCTATCGAGAAACTCATTTTTGACTGGGCAAAGTTCACTTTTTTCTCGTATATCTGGAACTTCCACTCGAGCTCTATCTGCTCAGTCGCAAAGCTGGCTGGCTTCTGGAGGGCCTGCAGCGACTCGTACTGTGCCCTGGCCTGCTTGTACTCCAAGCACGCTTTTTTTATCGTAGAGACAAGGGACGCGTCGATCGAAGAGGCAGGAGAAATGGAGGGAGGCATGAAGAGGTGGCTGTATTTGAGTATTCGGCTGTGGTTGAGCTTTCTGGAGGGCAGAGCTCTCGTGTATATTTCCGACTTTTCAATGGTTTCTATCGACTGCACATACTCCACAAATGAAATCCTGAGTCTTTCAATTTGCAGTTCCAGATTCTTCTTTTTTCTTTCGTGCGTTTCAATGTCCTTTTTGAGTGTCTTCATCGCTTCGTATGCGCTTTTTGATCTTTCAAGAAAGCCCAGATCATGTGTGCACGCATCTTCCAGAGACAGATCAACCGGCTTATTTATAATACGAGTGCTGCTCTTATTCTCATTCATCGAATTTAAATAAAAAACCAAAGAATGCAATCATGATATTAATATAAAAGAATACTTCCTATAAAAAGAATTAAAAAATAAAATATCACTGGATAGTGTATATCCGCAGAACATTCGCATATAAATGATCTTATAAAGAGAAATAATGGACTAATAAACCACAGAAACCTTCTAACAGCTCATTTTATTTTATTTTCATTTCCAAGTGTTTTATTTTTACTGGCAACAGAAGACCGTCTCGTAGCAGAACGAGAATAGAGACAGATCAATTCTCTGCAAATAATTTACATAGATGGAGAGAACAGTATCTTCATTACTGATTAGCTCTTAGATAAGAGAGATAGCAGAATAAACAGCAGAATAAACAGTAGAATAAACAGTAGATCATTTTAGCATAGAATTTAAGTAGAAAGATATTTGTGCTAGTTGTCTAATGTTTCAAAGTCCAGCCCATCGAACAGATCAGAATGTGTGGATATTTTTGCAGATTCAGGGACGCTTATCTCTGAATATTTTTTATGCAGGAAGTTCAGGGCTTTTTCAGTCAGGAATCCTGTGCGTACGTTGAAAGAGCTCTGTCTGTATCCTTCTGTTTCTTTTATTTTTTGGTAGACATCCGCTCTGTCCATAATAACAAATGCCTTCGAAATGTTCTTCCACACGTACACCTGGTACTTATACGCCTCTGGATCTCCTGTGGGATCATATCCGTACCGTATCCACAGCTTCTTCCACGGCCCAGTGGAGTAGGTGTACGCAATGCACGGGAGAATGTTCTTAGCTGCAGACCACTTGCACATTTTAAATGCTTCCGGGTTGTTTTTAAAGTGCTTTTCAAGGCCTTTTATCGGCCATATGGCTCTTTCTTTGAAGAGACCCTCAAAGACCTTCTTCAAACTTTCGTAGGCACTTCCTACTTTCTTTTTCACAGCTTCTTCTGTTGCAGGATTGGGCTCGGGCATGCTTTCCTCTATTTTTATCTTTCGCACAAGCTGTGTCTTATTCCGTGCGCTCTTGAACTCTTTGAAGTTGTAGTATTTAAATACACCGGAAAGCGTAGTGAGTGGCACGGGGTAGAAGGGAACTGAGTTATCTCTCACATATTTGCTGAAATACTTCTCAATCCCGCCATCGATATCTCCATGCAAATATTCGCTTACTGTGTGGTAAAACTCAAAAGAGGAGAGAGGCATGGGAATGTAAAAATCAGACAAAACAGGGCTCATGATGCTCTGTATGTGCCCGTACACACGAACACCCTCCAGCCCTCCCTCTGCAATGTACATCGAGCTATCACACTTTCTCTCTTCCAGCCGTATTTCTTTTTTCTGAAAAGAGCCTTCGAGATAGAGTGACTCTCCAGAGAATGCGTACGAATCAAACCCGCCCGGCAAGTGCACTAAAGAAACACTTTTCAAGCCCGCACAAACAAATAAATTCTGCATTTGAATAAAAATTTCCATGGTAAATATTTATGCTCAGAAAAGCACTGCTGGGAGTGGAGAAAAGCAGAAAAACAATCCAGAAGTATAAGCTCAATGCGTACACCTTTTTTTCTTTTACATCCACGCTGACATTCTTCTCCGTTCTTATGGGAATAAAGTGGGTGATACTGATATACGTCATGTACTACATAACAGCATGCAAAAAAATTACCTCGTACTATCAGCCAACACCAGAGAACATTCGAATAGTTTCAAAATTAAAAGGGCTGGAAAAAGTTTTCTATCCGCACATTCTCTGGCTGCTTCCCCAGATACAGACAGTTTCGTACATCGTAAGAACTCCTCTCATCCACAGCCACACACAGGTAGAGATGGAGCAGGATGATGGAGGATCTTTCGTAATAAACGTGTACGAGCCAGAGACACCTGCAGTGCACACAGTTATCACCCTGCACGGGCTCGGAGGATCAGCGAACTCCAAAAATGTAAGGATACTCGCATCGCACCTCCTCAAAGACGGTCACAGGGTAATTGGGCTGAGTGCTCGGGGCGGTATTCAGAAGCTGAAAACGCCTGTGTTCTACCACATAGGATGGACAAAGGACTTAGTGAGCACGATTAAGTACGCGCTGAAGACATACACAGGCACAGTGTCTGGCATAGGCTTCAGCCTTGGGGGGCACTGGCTGACTAAAACCTTCGGTGAGCTAGACTTGCACTTCACCAAAAGCGAGATAGAGAGAATAAAAGGAGGCATGGGCATTTCCATTCCCTTTGACTTTGTGAAAATATCGAAGTACATGCAGAGGCCCATACCCAAGCGCATATACAACAGAGAATTTGCGAAGAAGATACACCGGTTGGTGCTGAGAAACAGGGAAGTGTTCGAAGAGAATGGATACGCAGTGTCTGAAATATTAAAGGCAAACACAATGCACGACCTTGATCTGCTTCTGACGTCAAAAGTGTTCAACATCCCGAATCTGGAGGAGTACTACTACAAAGAATCGTGTGTACGGGTTATTTCCAAAATAAATAAGCCGTTTCTGATACTCAACTCAAAAGACGATCCAATTGTCCCGCTGCACACGATTCCGATAAAGGAGTGTGTGCAGAGCACGCATGTGATACTGGCTCTGACAGAAAGAGGAGGACACATGGGCTTCCTAGGATACTCAAACCACATAAGCTATGCAGAGGAGGCAGCTGTTGAGTTCACCCGAGTTATATCTGACAAAACAGAGTGAAAGAATAAACTTAGCAAGTGCTGGAAGATGAAGATCAGATTGTATGAAAAGTAGAGCTGAGCAGGAGTTATTTCTTGCCACATGGGCGGTGTTGCTATTTTTCTTCTGCTTTTCCGGTAGATATTTAATTTTACCGGTAAAATGTGAGTCTAGCTGTTAATGTTGGATGGCAAATAATTGTAGTAGTGGCTAGAATAAAAAATAAATAAAAATCAACGTGTTTTATAGTGTAGAGACCATCAAAAAGCAAGAAATAGTCAGTAATAGACAGGGATAGTTATATCTCTTTTTATTACCCTAATTGCTGTTTATCCAGTAGTTATAACAGCACCATTGCTATTATCATTATTTGTATCATTTTTCACAGTATTGGCTATTGAAAAGTAAAAATTTTAACAAGTATTTTCCAAACATCTGATAGAAATAACAAAAATAGAGAAATTACTACACTGCACACCACAAGAGAATAGATAACTAGTGTGTTAACACCATATTTAGCTCATTAGCAATTAAGAGCATCAGCAAGTGCTCTATCACTGCTAAATAAACCACAGCTCTACTGTCATAAAATGGGTATAAATTCATAGTATGTTTATTTTACTGTGCATCCAATGCATACCCTATCTCCGAAGTGTTTGTCCCTATGCTCACAGGTTTCCCAATGGCTATGCAGGAAGAAGGATTCGTCAGGCCGTCCACTGCTCCATCTACCACTGCATCTTTAATGAAAGAGTACGCTGTCTCAAATGTTATTCTCTGGATGGGTGACCCCATCACTGAAAAGGCTCCTCTATTGAACGCAATGATAGTGCCCGTGTGTGTCATGTAGTCAGCGATAAGGGAGAGGTGCCTGTAGTCTATCTTTATCCCGTACACCTCGAATACAGCTGCTATTTCCCGTATAATGGCAATCCGTGCTGCCTCAATGCCCAGTGTGCTAGCTGTCTCCCAGATGCTGTTAGATCTGCACTCAGAGAGATCCATGAGATCACCCAGCAAAAGATCGCCCACTGCGTTGTGGAGGCCGTACATTGTGCCCTTCTGTATCAGGTACTGGCCATTTGCATACGTGCAGCTCTCAAATTCGGCGTCAGTTTTAAGAAGAATCTTTTTAAGGATGTTCTCAACTCGGGGAAGATAGAGGGTTTTGTACGAAATAGGAGCATGCAGCGTAATGTGCACCCAGGTGCCGTCATTCGTGCACGAGGGATCAGACACTTTATCCATTGCATCGCACTCGGGCAGATCTTTCTCCTGCTCCTCTTCCAAGTGTTCGTTATTCTCGTTATTTTCCGTGTTCTCACTCTGCTCTTCTTCTGTCTCAGATGACTCTTCTTCCTCAGACGACTCTTTATCATCCCGTGCTTCTTTGTCCTGTGCATCCGCTGCGCGCACGTCCTTAACACTCTCTGTTATCTGCTGGTCTGAGAGGGACTTGATGAATGCCTTCATGTTCCTGCTGAACATAACGAAGAACTCGCTCTGCAGCGTGCTCTCCACCAGCCCAATAATGCCAGGCAGGGGAAGCAGAGAGATCTTCAGCTGCCGCACAGGAAGTCCTGTGCTGTGATCAACAAGTACCTGCTCGTCCATCTTGATAGACGTGATGACAGACATAACACTCCTGCGCCCAGAAACTCTTAGCATCTCCATCTCCCGCGCGCTAGGCTCTCTCGTGGCAGGCACAGATATAATCGGCGTCTTAATGTTCCTGCTGGCAAACATCACAAGCTCCTTCAGTCTGGGCATCCCCAGGGTCACGTTCTTCCCTCCTACCCCTGCAAGATGGAACGTGTTGAGGGTCATCTGTGTCGAGGGCTCTCCTATGCCCTGCGCTGCAAGGATCCCCACTGCCTCTCCTGGCTCAGCAGCGGCCTTAAGGTACCTCCACCACAGACTCTCTTTGTGCTCGCTCGCTGATGATGACTCGTGGAAAGCGCGCGACACTTTCCCCTGCTGCGCTCTCAGATTGTACAAGTCCCCCACCTGCAGTCCCACGCTGGAGAGTATCTTGGGCTCCACAGGATTCTCGTTGAAGAACTGGTGGTTGTGCAGATACGCTGCTTTCTCCGGGTGTATTCCGTCCTCTCCGTAGACCATCTGAATCACAGATCCATCTGAGTCACGCACGCTCCCATCTGCCTCTATCTTTATTCCCTCTAGGTGCTTGATAAGGCACCTTTGCAGATACCCTGATCTGCTGGTTTTAACTGCTGTGTCAATTAGCCCTTCTCTACCCGCCATGCAGTGGAAGAAGAACTCTTCCTGGTGCACACCCGTGAGGAATCTCTGCGATATAAACCCGTGGGCGCGCGGAGTGTCCTCCAGGGGCAGGAAGGTGGGAAGGGTTCTTCCCGTGGGCATAATGGGCACTCTCATTCCCTCTAGCTCCTGCTGTCCGAGCATCGATATGATCTGGCCCAGATTGACGAGACTTCCCTTCGCCCCTGAGGCCACCATCATGTACATTCTGTTTCTTCTCTTCTGCAGGCACAGCCCAGCACTGGCTATTTCCAGCACCCTGGAGGAGCACTCTCCCGTTGGCTTTCGCATCTCTGCATCGAGCTCTCTTTTGTCCTCGGGCACTTCTCCTTCTGCTGCTGACTTTGAGGTCTTTAGGAGGAAGTCTGGCTTATTCTGCAGGAACTCCCTTGATGCGATGCTTCCTGCAAGGAGCCCTTCCTCTATTGCTGTGTGTCTTCCTGTTTCAGCTGCGCTCTCTATCATCAGGTCGTCCATTGTGCAAGAGTGCCCAAAGACGATGAGTGCTCTGTTGAAGAGCCTTCCTATGGCCGTGAGGAGGGCGTTGCTGGCTGTTCCTCCGTACTTTTCATTCACTGCATGCGCGAGCCCGTACGGTGCCGCGCCTATCTGCGACTTGTCAAACGACCCAGCAATAACTACGCTCTGTCTGATAATAAGTGTGTCTCCCAGCTTAGATTTGCACGTTACGTTTATCTCTATCCCCAGGTTGCGGATCACAGCTGTGATGGCCTGCTGCCCAGTGTACAGCCGCTTTGGCCTGAGGATCGCAGGCTCTTCCAGGAGGAATCTTTTACCCCCTGCACTTCCCCAGAGAGCAGAGACAATCATCTGCGAGTACTCGCCAAACTGAATGAACACGTTCTTCTGCGATAGAAGAGCACCCATCACCACGTGGTCCTGCACATGGCCTCTCACAGGATCACCACTCGTAGCGGATATGAAGCACTGGTTGGTAGAGCATATCTCAGACACCTCCACCTGCGATACGATATCCTGGGGGAAGTGCACGTTCATCTCATCCCCGTCAAAGTCTGCGTTGTACGAGTTGCAGTTGACGTAGTGCAGTCTGATGGTTCTTTCATTGGGGAGTATTTTGACCTTGTGCCCCATCATGCTCACCTTGTGCAGGGATGGCTGTCTGTTAACTAGCACATTGTCTCCTGTGCGCATGTGTCTCCACACCTTCCTGACTCCAAATGACATATTTTTGTTTGGGAGCTCTCCCGTGTATCCTGTGAGAGAGTCTTTGTCAGTGATGGAGTGTGCATTGCACGATGCCCTGGTGAGCAGCTGGTTGGCGAGGTGCATTCTCTTCTCCTGTGTGATGTGTCGCAGACTTATCAGCCCTCCCGTGGCATCTTCTATGTACTCAGCCCCTGGATACACTGGGCCGTTTATCACTGCCTCTCGCAGCGATTCTATGTTAACAGGCGATATCCCCACGGGGATGGTTAATTTGCATGCGAACTCCTGCGGTATCCCTACTTCATCTACGGCTATGGCTGGGTCTGGGGATATAACTGATCTTGCTGTGTAGTTGACTCTTTTTCCCATGATATTATTTCTGAATATTCCCTCCTTTTTCTCCAGTATTTGTTTTACGCCCTGCGTGACGCCCTTGGTGTTTTGGTTTGTCACGGAGTACAGGGAGCTGACTGCCTCCTGCAGGCGTATGTACGCACTAGTCACAGATTTAGCTGACTTATCTTCTATGTTGAATATCTCCATCGATATTTTGATGATCTCCTGGTACACAATGCTCTTCTGGTGGTGCGTCAGCATGTTTCCTCTGGAGAGCTTGTTCATCGGCCTGCACCCCGGGGGAACCACAAGGACCACCTCGATGAAGAACATGGGAAGAAGGAAGTTGTATCCTGTCTGTTTGCTGTGCATCCTGTAGAAGAGCTCTGAGAGGAAGGTCTCTTCTTTTTTTGTTATCTGCTGGATCATCTCCACTGCTTCCACCGGGAGTAGGAGCTCCTCCCTGAGTTCATCGGCTCCTTCTTTTGTTCTTTTTGTTCTCTCTACCACTATACAGTTGTTTTTTGTGGATATTTTATGCGGTGACGATCCGCACCACATGCATGGCCTGGGAGCCTGGGCTAGGAAGCTGTTTAGTACCCTGTGCACAGTATTAGAGTGCACTTTTGGTGCTCTGCTCTTCTTTTCTGTCTCCTGTGCTATTTCCTCTATTTTCTCAAAGTTTCCTTCTTTTATCAGCTGCTCTACTTCATTCGACTCTGTGGGGTATCCTTTCCTCGCCAGCTGCAGCTGTCTTGTGAGTGCTTGCACGTAGTCTTTCCCTGCTCTGAATCTGTGGCACACGAGACAAGCCTGCTTCAGGAGCTTGGAGAGCAGGGGATGCGTCATTGGGTTGTATACGGGGAGGGGAAGATCTATGTGCCCAAAGTGCCCGGGGCAGTTATTGTGTCTCAAGTGGCAGTGCTCGCACGAAGAGTCGCCCACTGCGCCAAGCCTGGGGTCGTATAGGCCATTTCTCACAGGATGACCCAACTCGTTGAAGATCGTGGGGTCTACTATCTTGAGAATGCTTTCTTCTCTTATTTCTTGTGCGGTGAACATGGACAAATTTAGGGCTTGTCCTCTGAAGAGTAACGGTCTCTCTGTGTCCATTTATTTATAAAAAAATAATTACGAAAATATAACTGAAATTAGCTTTTGCTGCTGGAAAAGATGTAAAGCAGAGGGAAAGTATTGATCTACTGGAAGACAGATAAGTATTTGTAGCTTAGATAATCTCAGATATGTCTAAGCTAGGAGATAGACCATTTACTCTTCTCTCATTCACAGTGCTCTAGGCATATTCACTGCATTTGTGTGCACTTTTCTGATGATGGGTAGTGTTCTCTTGCAATTACTTGTGCATTGTTTGTTCTTCTCATTGGGGGTGGAGCTCGCTTTTTATTTTTACGATCAAATGAGTTTTGCATTTTTAGTTTTAGAGTTTGCATGTGGTGAATAACTCTACTACTTAACTATGCAATGGCTAAATATTCTCTACTGCAAAATACATCCTAATTTTAGCTTTCACTTTGTTTTCTAGGTTATTTCATCTTCCAGAACTTTCCAACTCAAATCTTTTTCTGCTAGCTAAATGGCACATAAGCTCAAATGAAGAATAACTCGAGCATATAAATACAAACTCGCTCTAAACTATGTAGTAGAGAGTAAATACCAGAGAATTAAAATAGGTGACAAAAATATGCTAGTGCAAAATACTGTGTATAATGAAAGAACAGTACACTACATCCACTCTTATTCCTGTTTATTCTCTTTTTCTGCTCTTTCAGCTGTCTCTTCTGTCTTTCTGCAGTTTTTGCTCTAATTTGCTCTTCGATTATAAATAATTATTATATTCTTTATTTATGTCTCAGAACATAGACGTAAGCGGAAGATACACAGACACAGGAAACATACTGCAGATAGAGTATGCACGCAAGGCAGCAGCCAAGGGGCACACCACGATAGGAATAGCCTTTAAAGATGGAGTTATCCTGGCAGTGGACAAGAAGGCACCTTCTAAGCTCGTGGATATTAACAGGCTCATGTACATAGAAAGCATCTCCGATGCATATGCCATGGCATACACAGGGCTTGGGCACGATGCCTTCGTAGTGAAGCACGAGCTGAAGAACTTTTGCGCGCAGATACTGGAGGCAAGGGAAAGAGAGCCCCTGGAGGAAGAGTTCTTCGATCAGGCCAGGGCGTACTTAAGCCATTTTACATCGTACATGTCATGGAGGCCCGTGGGCTGTGAGTTTTTGGTCTCATCTCAGACGCACAAAGGAGTAAGTCTGTTCCACATAGATCCATCAGGCTCAGTGAACAGATGTAAAGCGTACGCAGTGGGGCTCAATGCACAGGCAGCAAAGACAGAGCTGGAGAAGATACACACGGACATCATAACAAGAGAAGACGCGGTGGAGGCAGCTGTCAGAGTTCTGCATCTGTCAAAAGACGAGCTGACTGAAGGATCTTTTGTCATTGAGATGGTTGAGATCCTGAAGGAGGAGGGAATAAAAAGAGTCTCAGAGGAAGAGATAGGCAAACTATCAGAGGGATTCCAGGAGGACGCAGGGCACTAGGCTAAGAAGGAGAAATCAGTGCAGAGAATAATCAATAAATACAAACTTATCCGTACGAGCATTGATTGGCATTGAGAATACTTTCAATATTTTTTATTTTAAATTTTATTTTACTCCTACCAGTAATAGTCTATCTGTACAAGGAAATAGACTCTGCTCTTATTTTACTTTTATTCTCATCTGTGCTGTACTCTCATCTTGCTTACTCTTTTAAGTTTCTGTTCTATTTGCAGTTCCTCTTTGTTTCTGCTCTTATGTGCGCTCTTATCTTAGATACTGCTGGTTTTATTCCCAGCTGTGGTAGTGCGTGCTCTCTTCTTCTCCATTGCTCTTCTCATTTTTACTGTGTTTTATTCGTGGCCCAGATATTCCTCTTTTTTCGTGCGATCTTCTTGGATTATATTTCCATTAATTTTTTATTTGTATTATGTACGGCACACAAGGTGGACTGTTTGCTTTGGATAAGGGAACTACCACAGCGTCATTTATTACCAAGGATGGGGTGGTGGTGGCAGTTGACTCGCGGGCAACATCTGGCTCATACATTGCCTCGCAGACAGTTAATAAAGTCATACAAGTGAATAAGTACTTGCTGGGGACAATGGCAGGAGGTGCTGCAGACTGTTTCTACTGGGAAAGAGCCATGGGGAACTACGCCATGCGGCACGAGCTGAAGTACGGGGAAAGGATCCCTGTGGGGGGTGCTGCTAAATACCTGTCTGCAACCCTTAACAAATACAAAGGGAAAGGCCTCTCGATTGGGAGCATGGTCTGTGGCTGGGGATCATCTGGTCCTGCTATATATTACGTAGATGACTCTGGGAACTGCGTGGAGGGCAAGATGTTCTCAGTGGGCTCTGGGTCACTCTTTGCCTACGGAATACTTAACACGGGATATAGCTACGAGATGGAGAAAGAAGATGCGATTGAACTGGCGAGGCGAGCGATCTTCCATGCGGGACACAGCGATGCGTATTCAGGTGGAACTGTTAGCATATACTTCATAGACGAGAACGGATGGACAAAGGTAGATGCTCAGGATATATCTTGCTTATATGATAGGTATATGTAATAAACATTCGGATTATATCTGGCTCATTGGCTAAAATTTTTATTTTTGTTTCTTGGAGTCTGCAGCTGATTTCTAGCACGTGCACCAATCAGAGCGAGAATGCATTTACTTTGTTGTTGTTTGTTTGTTGGTAGAAATGAGAGCAGATGCACACGGAGAGTGGCTGACCTCTCTGCTTCTGTTTGTGATAAAGGGATTGCGCATTAGCATTCTTCCGTTCGATCTGAAGGTGCTTCTATTGACGGGCATAGAGTACGTGGCGGGATATGTGTACAAGACCATGCACAGCACAGCACAGAGTGCAAAAGAGGAAAAAAAAGAAAAAGAAGGTGAATCGCGGCCTAGAAAGAAGGCTGTGATACTTGACGGAACGAGCAAGCACGGAGCACTTCTGAAGAACCAGCTGATAGAGATGGGATACACAGTTGTGTACCCTGGAAAAGAAGAGACGCCTTCAGACAGCTGCATAGCCATACCTATCTCGATAAGGAATGAAGAGTCAATTGATCTGTTCGTTAAAAAGGTGATCCTTCTGGGCCGAATTGATCTGCTGGTAGTAAACTCGGCACAGTACAAAGCAGTAAGGAACAAAATAAAGCCAATACAAGGAATAGAAAAAAAAATCATCCCATCAAGAAAAAAAACAGGATTCATCAGCAAGAACGAACTGTACAAAGAAAGCGATAGGATACTGCTGGAGAAAGACCTTAATGCCAGGCGCAACTATTTATTTAACTTTCTCCTGATCAGGGGACTATCAGACAGTTTGAAAGGAGGCGATGGAATGGTGGTTCTGTGCGTGCACAGGGTGTTTATGCTGGTAAGCGAAAAAAAGAACACTCTTCCCAGCTATTCTTTCTCTTACTGCAACAGCCAGCTGTTCAACGTGTTTCTGGGCATGGGAGCAAAGGCAAGGTACAACTATCTGGACATTCGCGTGATAGGATGCGACTTCCTCAGCGACATATGGATTAAGACAGTCGAGCACTGCGTAAAGCAGAAGAAAAAAGAAGAGCTGCAATACTTCAACAACTGCACAGCAGGAAAGATCGAGGGACTGAATGCAGACAGAGCGAACGACATATGGGAAAATGCAGAGATTATATCCTAGAGGGAATATTTGAGATATTTTATCAGAGTGTTTGAGAGGAAGATTTATTCTAGTAGAGAATTCGGGTTACTTCAGGATGGTCTAAAATCGGGTCTACAATCCTCCACTGCGATTCTATTTCTGCAAGAGACGAGAACCCGTGCACTTCCTTTTGGAATATAAGCTGATTGAATAAATGCTCGTATGCGTCTATGTTGTCTTCCGTGTTGGGTATTGGTATGTTTACCTTTTTGGCCAGTTTGTTTTTGTATTTTATTTCAATCGATATCGACTCTTTTGGGGTGATTTTCACTTTTATTTTTCCCGTGATGTTTTTACGCTGTGTTTTTTTCTCGGCTGGTGAGACCGTTTCCTCCTGGCTTTCTTCTGTTTCTATGCCCTGCTCTGCTGCAGCATATGGTGCGCTCTTTTCTGTGCGCTCTTCTTTGCTGCCCAGCATTTTCTCTATCTTTTCCGTTAGCTTTGTATTTTCATAATCTGCCGGATGTGTTTCTGCTTTTACGAGCTTCAAGATTGCTTCATCTGTTAGAATGAGTATTACTGCTACAAAATGAGCAGGCATTCTTTTTCCTGCAGTCATTTTTAGCGGAATGCTCCATGGCTCAGATATTTCTGTTTCTGTTTTTATGAATGTTTCTTTTATCGATGGATCTAGTACCGGCTCCTGTGCATCTTCTTTATCTGCTGATCTTTGCTTGACAAATTCTCTATTTATGGATGTTTCGCTTAGAGACCTTCGCAGAGTAGAAGGTACCTCTCCTGACTTCCTAATGACATCTGCATATTCTGCGTACACCCCGAACAGAGTGTTCTCTGGCTTCAGTGGCTCTATTTTCTTGAGTATTTCCATTCTGCTGCCATTTCCTGCGAGTACGGTGGCAACTGATAGTAAGAGGTGGTTCTGAAGAACATCCCTGCATGCTCCCGACGTGTTATAGTATCCTTCCCTTCCCTCTACGCCTATGACCTCATTAAAGTATCCTTTTACTTCTTTTACATATCCAGGAACAACCATGTCCTTGAGCACACTTGCATTGTATATCTCCTTGTACCTGACTATTACATTTTTAAATAGATAGTGATCTATGCACAAAAATCTGTCTGGATTGTTCTGCAGCGGCTCCTTTAGCTCCAGAAATGTTTCTAGAGATGTTCCAACGGGTTTTTCTATTAGGACAGTGGGTACTACATCAGAGGGCCCTTTCTCCTCACTCTCCTGCACACTTATTCTCTGCAATCTTTCTCTTACCTCTCCTAAAATAGTGGGGTATATCTCAGGCGGCACTGCTAGGTATATGTACAGCTCGCTATCCAGCACTTTCTCTTCTTTGTAGTTCATTTCCAGCTGTTCGTACACCTTGTCAATTATTTTATCGTACTCACCACTGTGATATTCTATTTTCTCCACTGTTTCTTTTAAATAAACGATGCTTGGGTCTATCCTTCTAATAAAATCTACTGTAGACAGCTGGCTTCTTGCATACCCCATGATTCTTGGGATTATTATCCCGTTGTTCTTGAGAATGTCTCCCTGCTTCATCTTCCTGTGCAGTATTCTACTGGCTGTTGCTTCTACATACTTTTTCGTATTCACAGGATCCTCTGGGTTTGCTATGGTAATGGGGCTGTATTTGCTTAAGTTGTGCGCAGATGTGGAGCTGCTGAGGGTTCCATCCGTCTGGTTTAGCTCTGTCTCTGCGTACGCTCCTCCTGTGCACTCGCTTAGTCTTCTCCTGAACACTTTATTTATCGCAGGGAATATCTTTTTCTTGCTCAAGTCTCCCGTGCACCCTGCTATGACTAGCATACAAATATAAAATAATATCTGTATTAATTCAAGAAATTCTACACTTTTGCATTCTTGCAGAAATCATTTTCAAGCAAGGAAGAAATTAAAATTAGCTTGCAAAGACTTTCTCTTTTCTGCTCTGCTTCATTCTGCGAGCTTTAATAAAACCATGTTCTAGATCTCAGAAATAGCTCAAGCAATAAAATGAAAATAAGAAGAGAAAAGGCTTTTATTGCGTAACAAAGCTGGAAATAATCCATCGTGTGCCTAAACTGCATCACCAAGACAGTTTTGCTGACTGCACTCCTGTTTGTTTTACTTCACCAGCTCATGCACTCTAAGATTACCGCTAGTAGATCACTTTACAAACCGACCACTAACCATTTACTAAATTGCAATGTTCACTGCTCCTTCACCAATTTATACCAATATTATGGTCTACAGTATTCTATATGTCTCTTGCTGTTTTCTTTGTGTAGCTTGTAATGTAGAGTCCTTGTGTCTTCCAGTCCTACCTGTGTTATAGCCAATAACTGCTGTTCTTCTGCATTGGATAGCTCTTTGCTATTTGTTTCCTGAGAATTTCTTTATTCCTTCATTTTCTATTGCTTCTCTTTTATTCCCGGTAATTCAATTAATTATTTGTAAATTTGCTCTGTGAAATTATATATACACATTTTCTTTATTTTTATTATGAGCACACCCATATGGCTATTAAATGGCAGCTCCAAGACGGTTATTCTCAAATCAATTCTTAACGACATAAATGGAATGTCGTACTATGATGATATATTTAACATCATCGCATCCTCCACTTTTGCCACTCGCATAAACTATTTAACAAAGGCATCCATGGTTGTATTTCTCTTTCTGCGGAGTAAGTCTATCCCCATCCTGATAGAAGATGTCCTTATTTACTGCAACAGCAACAAAATGGCGTTCTTGTCACTGCTTGCAAAGAACAAAGGACTGATGCCAAACTCACTGGTGACAAGAGAGTACGTGAGCAATGTCCTGTCCAGAATATACGAGACATTCAGAGCACACATTAAGCTCAGCTACTCTTCCATACACAAAAAAATGATGGTTCTGTACCACTCCAACTACTACCACAATAAGTCTCCTCTCACTTCCATATTAATTTTGTGTTTCTACGACAGCATAAAAAAGATAAACGTAATAGTCAAAGAACACTACCCCACAACAACGATGTACAGCATACACAAAGAGACAGCGCGCATATCAAAAGTGCTGAAGGAAGACCCAACAGACATACTTTTAGCAGATGAAGCAGCAAACAGCACAGAAGAAAACGTAGAGAACGCAAAAAACAGCAAAAACAAACACAAAACGCTAAAAATAAACCCAAGAGCAGAAACACCCACCGCAGAGATGATAAAAAGACAGGAAAAAGAGAGCAAAGTAGACCGGGCTATTCTGCTGTACATAAATGGAATAGGAGCCGATGAAAACTACGCCACAGACTATGAAGGGCTTTTGATCGAAGGCATGGTAAAAAGAGGATACAGTAAGGAGATGATCATGAGCCTTACAAAGAAAGGACTGGAGTACTACAACGAGTACTAGAAGGCAAGAAAAAAGTGCCTTGTAGATGTACAGCGTATAATTATAGAGAGATATAATAAATACTAATCAAACAGATGTCTATTTCTTTCTACTTTATTCTTCTGATTTATCGAGCAGCTTGTACTGGAGTATTTTCAAGGTTTTTACTCCTGCTCCGTCATCTTCGATCGTGCTGCTAACTATTTCTATCTTTTTTGTGTAGATGGGAGAGTCTAAGGTGATTGTTTCGTACTCTCCTCCCTCTCCGCACATGTTGAAGTCTTTTTCGGTCAGCCCTTTGTGCTCTTCTATTTGGCTATCGATGTATTCGGAGTATTTTGCTCGTACTTCACTGAGATTGCATCCAACTAGTGTGCTCAAAAACCCTCCTCCTTTCACTATAATTGCATTTATTCCCGTGCTGATCATTCTATCGATCAATTTTCTCTGGTCCATTCCCCAGAGATATCCAAGCATCTCTAGGTTAAGGCGGCTGCACACATTCTTTACTCTGTTGTACTGGTAGACTGAAGAAATAGCGCCAACGGACACACCTGTGAATGAGTACATATCCAGAAGAGACTTAATAGCAGAGTGCAGATCTTCTATTTCATCGTCTTTTTCTGCGGTGTAATCTATGCTTCTTATCTTGGAAAACCCGTTTGTGCTAAACTGGTGCAGCGGAAGACCAAGAGACTCTGCTATCCCAGGGAGAACATCGCAGCCCGCGTACTGGAACATGAATGAATCTTTTTCTTCGCACATTTTCATGTTTAGCAGGCAGACCGCTGTGTGCCCCTCTTCTGCAGCTATCTGCATATTGAAAATACTGTCTTTTCCTCCGCTTACAAGAGCCAAAAACTGCATAAAATAAAAGTAAAATCGAGATAAATGTCTTGAAGAGGTAAAGCAAAAGGAAAAGAGAGATGGACAGAGCAGAGAAAGAGCAGATAAAAGGATGCAATCAGTAATAGAGAGAAGATGGAGAGTGTGAAGAGCTCTTCTGTTTGTTACTCGTGTGTGTATAGATCTACCCAGAAATAGAAGTAATTCCAGCAAAAGAGCAGTACTAAAATGAAAGTTGAAAATATTTCTTCATTATTCTCTTGTGTAATTATTTCTGCAGTGACTAAAATCTAAAAAAATAAACTTGAGATGAAGAAAGACTTGGCTGAGGAGTACATAGAGCTCATAAAAATAGCAAAAGAAAAGAAAAAAGAGAACGAGCTGCTGTATCCCATATACAAGCACAGCAACACTCTGCTAAAGAGCATAAAGAACACAAGAGAGCTAAGACTGGATGCCTATTTAGCTGATGAGATCATAGGAGAAGAAAGCAAGAGAATATTCCTGCAGTGTAGCAATAACATAACAGTCAGCAGCTACATAGACCTAGTCAGCACAAACCTGTCAGCACACAAGGCCCTGGCCAACGCACAGTACAGAGGAGCACACTTTCCTCCCGTTCTCTCTCTCAGAGGACACATAACAAAGGCAGTAAGAAAACCAAAAAAACAGAAAACAGAAAAAGATCAAGAAAAAGCCAACAACGATGAACAAGAGACACAGACAGATGAAATAGACGCGCCAAAGGAGATAAAGAAGATATACAGGATACTGAAGGAAAAAAAAGAAGTGGAGCTATTTCGGCTGGTAATTGACCCAAACTCATTTGGTAAAACCATAGAGAACATTCTTACGCTTTCGTTCACAGTGAAGGTAGGAAGGGCATTTATTACAGAAAAAGAGGGAGTGCTATACGCTACACTGGAGAGAGTGGAAGAGCCAATAGACACGCACTGTATCATAAGTGTAACAGAAGAAGATGTAAAAAGAATAGCACACGAGATGGATATCAGAGATACCATGCTGTAATTTGTATTGCAGCTGCCACAAGAAGATGGATAGAGTGCAAAGTGTGAAATAAGTAAAATAAGTGTGTTTATTGGCCAGTGTGTGAAATGAGTGGTGAACAGATGAAATAGTGTCTGAAAGTGTGGGCAATTTTAAATGAATAATTTTATTATGTGAGAGCAGAAAGTTTTAGGTATTAGATCAGTTGCCATCAGTGAAAGCTGCTTAGATTGCCAGTATTGTATTTTTCTTTATTTGTTGTTGAACAGTATGCTCTCGCTCAGACTGTACGATGCATATTTGCTTTTCCGAGAGGGCTTTTGCGTGTTGCAGTCTATTGAGCTGGCCAGAGCATCTATTTGCTTGTCTCCCTGCTGCAGTGACTCAGCCGAGGGGTTTTTAAAAAGTTTCTTCTCTTTGCCTTTCATTTATGCGCAGTTTATATTGCGCTTTATTTATATTCAATTTCAAACTCAATTCCAAACAATTAACCAATGATTAGCCACACACTCTGATTTAACAGTAACCAATACAAAGGCGCCCCATGCGCCATGCTTAGCCCAATTAGTGAGAGAAACAGAACTCTTGTTTTTATTGGTGGAAATTACTGAGAATACTTAGTTGCAAATGTTTTAATCAGCATGGATAATTTAACAGACATCAGAGTCAAAATAGACATTGAAGAGATAAGGAAAAAAGTGCAAGATCTGAATATACTGAGCAGTGACGGTAGAATGTGTGCATGGAATATCAGTCTGCTGCTCAGCGGCCTAGTGCAGGATCATACAAAAATTACTGTATCTGGCAGTGCATCTCCAGAGAGAGTGGGCGATTTGGCAAGAATGGTGCAGGCAAGAATCTTTTATATCATCATGGGGTCATATAGCGCGCTGATGGAAGATCCCGGCAATAAAAAGCTTTTTTTGGTAATAAACAGCAGAAAACAGATAGAAGTGCAGGAGAATGGACTATCGCAGAAACTTAGCGCTAATTTTACCGCATGGTATGCAACAGTAAAAAATAACATGAAAGAGAAGGACTTGGATGAGCTGATAAAGCACACAGCACACATACTATTCTCTGGTATATACAATAACAGCCTAAATCCAGATATAGGCACCTATCTCTGTTCGTTTGAGAATCTTGTATTTGGGATGCTAGGCTTAGATCAGAGAACAGGTAGAATAGACCTAGAAGATGTTTTCAGCTGTGATGAGCTGTATACAAAAGAAAAAGATGGAAAGCTGTTTATAGACTATGGATTGGAGCTGTTTTTTGAGAACTCGCAGAACCAAATGTTTAGGGAAGACCTAAAACACGGCATAATTAGTAGCCCTGCCTATGCTAATGAGAAGTTCAGGAGTGCACCGCTGAAAGAGCTGTCTGATCTTGACAAAAAGATAATCAGAACGATATACAAGAACCAAAGAGATATCAGGATAAAACAGTATATAGAATATCTTACCATACAAACATTCTTGTATCCCGGGAACATCTTTATGAACACCACATGCTACGAAATGTTCTTCCACGGTGAGGGTCTTTCCAAGCTGTGGAGCGACTGCCCAGAAAATGCACAATTTGATATTTTCCGTAACATAGATAAGATAGAAGATGCGCTAGAGAAAAATAAAATAGAAGAACTAGTGATATTGAACAAAATCAATAACGAACTAGAATATAGAAATAGCCTGGTCTATAAAGTACTGAATGCTATTTTTATCACTTCACTGTGCCGCTATGTGTCTAAATCGCTCAGTGACTTCGACTCAGAGGAAATTAAAAATAAAAGCACCCAAAGACTGCTCTATGAAAAGGACGCAATAGACCTCTACCAGAATAGCTACTCTCTTCTTGTGTCTCTCCTTAAAATCAAATCAAATGAGCTCTCTCAGGCTGCCAGGGATAACGCAAATGCAAATGTTCAGAGCTACTACAAAGTCATAAGAAAAGTAGTAAAAAACAAGACAATATCAGAAAATGAAAAAAGGCACAGAAAAATAAGAAAAACAGCTGTAACAATCATAATTATGCTACTTGTTTCTCTTACTGTCGCAGCAATAACCTACTGTGCAATCAAATACTATACGCTATTGACGAGTAAATAGGTATAGAAGCTTGTCCATGCATTAAAAATAGGACTGAGAGAACAGCACCATCTCTAATATCACTCTTTTCATGCTAGTAGCATTTTATGTGCTCACTCTCTATCGCTATGTTCATAGTGAGCTATTTACTTTTGACTAAATCTACCATTCTATACAGCTTCATTCTACTTTCCAACCTTCATCTTTCTATTTGAGCTCTTCTAACATTTGCTATTTTCTCTACCTACTACGTTAATCATGCTCTGTTCATCTTATGGTTTCGGCTTTCCCTTCTGGCTGGTATAATCCTATTTGCAATTTTATTTTGTTTGGCTTTATTTGGCGGGACATTTCCCGGCACTGCAAAAAGTATAAATAGAAATGACGAAGCACCCTCAGAATGTTTTATGCAGTGAATGTTTTATCAAGCAAAGGAAGACTATCCGCAGCCTGGGTGGCGGCATACTTTGACAGAAGGCTAAGTAAGCACGACATCCAGCAGGTGAGCATAGAAGAGACCGTGAAGTCCATAGAAACAGGAGAAGTGCCAGAGCTTGCCCTAAGAACATCAAGCCACATTCTCCTGGGCCTGTCCAAGATACTCTTCAGAAAAACAAAGATTCTCTACGACGAGTGCAAAGAATTGTTCATAACTGTCAAAAGAAAAAGCCCAGTCGATCCGCAGCAATCTCAAAAGATCAGCAAAACAGAAATAACATACCCCATCAGTCTTTTTAAGTATGTAAATCTGCCTGCACACTATGCCACCGCAAATGCAGAAGTGTCTGAAGTGGAGATAGGAAGAGGAACAGTTGATGGAATGATAAGCAATCTAGAGTACTCCATCAGTCTGAACAACATATCACTTACGCTCGCTGAGACTCTATCAGACATTCACAGCACAGAAGAGAGCGAAATTGTTGTAAATAACACAATGGAAGAGCACACTATTTCAGAGATAAAAATGCAGGAAGACGAAATGCTGCCGAACATATCAGCTATTTCACACTACGAGCCATCGCACATGGCAGACACCCTGCTGAAGATCCCAGAGAAAGAAACAGCTAGAAAAAGAACAGTCGAGAGCCATGAAAAAGTGAAAAAAGTAAAATACGAAAACAGCACAGAAGTAGAGAATAAAAACATAAAGCCAGCCAAGATGCAGCCAGTAAAAATAAGATCGCATCTTATCCCAGAGAAGCTGAGAGACATCTACACCTTGATACAGAGCACACCTGTGGAAGAAAAAGAAAATAAAACACAGGAGCAATCCATTGCAAATATCTCCAGCGTATCGCAGGCAGTAAACAGCAGGAGCTCGTTCAATGAATCGTTCAACGAGTCTTTCAATCACATAGAAAGCACTTCGATAGAAATCCCTAGAAGGGAGTCGGTGCTTGCCATTCCTGCAGATGAGCCGTCTTTCCTGCTAATGAACAATGCTGACCTAGATGGAATCATGTCAGAGGGCAGCTCTTCGATAGACTTGGAAAGCAGCGACATCAGAAAAAAGACACAGTCATTTATTCACATGCTCCGGAAAATATCAGAGGGCACATTAAGAGCCGTCCAGCCAGTGCCATACGGCAGTATTGCAGTTGAAGTGATTTAATTTCCAACTGTTCGTAAATAGCACAGTGCATAACGGAAAGTAAAGATGATTGTGCACACATAACCAATGCTGCAGTCTTAGACGCAGCTGTAAGTAACTCATAAATAATAAAAGTACACTATAAACACACTTCTCTCTCAGTGCACTCTTTACTCATTATTCATTTGCTGCTAGCACTGTCTTCACCGCAGAGCACAACACAAACTATCTCTAGATCTTGCTCATTTTAGAATAAAAGTGTGTAGAGCGGCATAAAATAGTGCAGAACATGCAGATTGGTTTGCTGCAAAAATAACAAAAAGTGTAAACATATTTTACTTTTATTGGTTGCTGTCCATTAGGAGGAATTTAATTGAAAAATTTTTGTGTTAGTATGGATGTTGCAATGCAAAATAGAATCAAAGTGCAGTTTGACACTAGAGAGGTAGATAGACTAGTGCAAGAAGCCATTCAAGAAGCCAATTTGATGAACACAAGATACACGGATGCTTTCTATTTTGCCTCAGTGCTAAAAAACAGTATATCCAAGCATATGACAGCTACTTTTGATGATAACTGCTGCATAAGTAACGACTCTAAACATAGCATTATCAAAATAGCAGAGGTGTACATATGGAAAAGACTATTTGAAGAGTATGAGAAAGCACAAAAAATAAGAGCAGAGGAAAAACTCACCATCTTCAATCCAAAGGGGATGATAAAAATAAATGCAGACGAGCTGAACGCGGATGTCAACTCATTCATCAACAACTGGTTTTCTTTCATACGCGCTGGAATAAAACACGGTGACCAAGAAGATTATATACAGAGAGCTTGCTTTGAGTTTATGGAATATATGTATATTATGAACATAGTTCTGAACAAAGAGTTTTCCAGCTTTGCTGAATTTCTGAAAGATTTGAATGCGGTAACAGATGATGTGAATATTGTTCACAATGACATTTGCAATTCTGCTTCAATCTTTGACGAAAGAAAAAGCGCTAAGAAGCCTGTAAGGGATTTACTCGACTGGATATGCGGCAACTCAAATCTCATTTCGACTGCGTTTGGCACCTATGAAGGAAAAAAAGAGAAACCGCTGGATAGCAATGAGATAAAGATTCTCAAACATATATACAGATATAGCAATGAAAACTGCACAAGAATGCAGAAGATAGTGCAGATAATAAGAGCATTTGTGTCTCCTGCAAACGTCTTCATGAACTATGAATACTCTGAGCTATCCGATGGCTTTGGCATCGCTAAGTTCTGGGAGGGACATACACAAGACAAACCATTTGACATTTTTAGCAATTTGGAAAAAATAAGAGATAAGCTGGAGAAAGATAACGTGAAGAGGAGTGACATAATATGCAAAATAGAAAATGAAATGAATTGCAAGGGCGATGTAACTCATCAAATGATGGAGTATGCGTACATCAGTGCATACAATCTTGTCTGCAGAATCTTTGCAAGTCTCAGTAAGTACAGCCAGAATAACTA